AAAAAAAAAAAAAGAGAAAAGAGGAGGAAGAAGACAGCGGGGGAAAGGAGGCGAGGGAGGTAAAGAAGAAGAAGGGGATTGGCGAGGAAGAAGAGCCGGCAGCCATAGCTGACCGGGGAGTTGACCGAGAGGATTGACCGGGGGTGTTGACCGGCGTTACCATAGTTGACCGGGGGTTGACCGAGGGTTGACCGAGGGTTGATCGAGGGCTGACCGCAGAGTTGACCGGCGTTGACCAGGACCGTTGACCAAGACTTTGACCAAGCCGGAGTGGTAACATCTCGCCAAACCCTTAGCCTACCCCTTGCCCTATGGATGTGCACATACCCCTTGGTACTTGCTGAAGTACAGTCTGTCTGTCTATTCTTTCTGCATTGAGTCTCTTCTGTCCTAGGTCATAGTACTCTGTGGATGAAGGATAGGGCCTGGATGACGAAACCCTAGTCTGACCTTGTAGGGCTAAGACTGTGGCTGATCCAACTTTCCAGGGGGGCATAACCCTCCCAAGGACCGGTGCTGACCGACTGGAAACAGTTGGTAGGACTCAGTGGGCCTGAACGGCAGTTAGGGCTGACACACCAGGCAGTCTTTAAGTGTTGAGGGCCTGTTTGAACCACTCCCCTACCGGCCCAAGTAAGGCTGAGGATCTGTGTCTGACGACTCGACTGTCCCGGAGGTCAAACCCTCCCAAGGACCGGTACAGACCGGTGGGCTGCTCGGTGTGGCACAGTAGGCCGGAAAGGCTGAGTTGTGGGTTGAAAGCACAGGCAGAACCAAGCTGATCACGTCGTCCTGTCTGCGACGTTCAAGAATTCTTGAGGAAATGCCTCCTGATCAGCCACTGGTTCAATAGTGACAGCCATAGCATAGGTCTAGGCTAGAGACCATAGTTGACAGGGTCCTTGTCAGGATTCTGTGGGTTCTTAGATTGAGTCTATAGGTTCGTCAGTCAGGGGTCAGAGTCTACGTGGTGAGGTCTGGAACCACTAACCCGGTTGTACACTTATCACCATGGTTGGGACCCGTAGTGGGTTAGAGACTAGCCCCTATAGTAAGGAGCAGCAAGAAAAGATGGYCGCCTTAGTCMAAGAGAACARGGAGAGAAAAGAGCGTGAGAAGCAAGCGAAGCTAAAGGCTATCGCAGACGAGCAGGCGGCGAAGATGAAGAGATTGGAGGAGGAGATGAAGAGAGTACAACAAGAGGAGGAAGAAAGAAGAAAAGTTGCTGAAGCAGAAGCGGCAGCAGAAGAAGAGAAAGAGAGAATGAGTATTGAGAGTGGAGAAGGAAGCAGTGGTGGCACGATGAAGAGGGAGACAAATATTGAGATGGAGAAGAAAATCAGCGAGTGGGTCGCTAATTTATCGTTGGGTGAAGAGGAGGAGGCAGAGTCCTATGTGACTGAGGATAAGAGGGCTGCGCTAGCCAGTGAGCTAGCAACAATGACAGATCCTATGAAAAGGCGAGAAAGGGAGGAGTAGAAATTGGCATGGAAGTTGAGGATGAAGCGAGGGAAGAAGAGGAGGAGAGGGAAGTGAGTAAAATGACTGCAGAGGTAGCGAAGGTGCAAGCGTGCAGGCAGGAGGTGTTGGCCCAGCCGGATGATAAGGCCAAGTGGGACAAGGTACTGGGGTACCTGGAAGTGTTGAGCAAGGCCTGGATGGAAGAGCGCCAGGCTAGCTTGAGCCAGGATGTAGCCTTGAGTGCCATGCGGTCAGGGTTTAGAGACTTTGCGCGCGAGATCATCACCCACATTGGGGGCGAAGTCAAGCAATTGAGAGACAATGTAGGGCAGTTTTGTGAGGGCGCCATTCAAGGTGCCAAAGCTGTAGCCGCTGCAGAGGGAGAGGCCAGACCCTGTAAGGACCCAGTGAAACTTAAGTTCCCAGATGCGTACGGGGGAAAGAAGGAAGAAAACTTTGACAACTGGGAAGCCAGTGTCAATAGTTATATTTATTTACAGCACATCCTAATTGAGGAAGAAGTCCTCGTGGCCTTCCAGGCCCTCAAAGATGAAGAGGCTAGTTTCGCCAGGTCTCTTGCGCGTACAGCCGGTTGTGAAAACAACCTGGTTGCATATTCCAAAGTCACCCCTCTTTCCCAATTCCTCAAGCTCCTCAAGGAGCGTTTCGCTGACCCAACGCGAGGCATTAGAGCCTCTGACAAGCTGCAAACGATCCACTCACGGCAGTGGAGGAGTGCCAGGGCACTCAAGGGTACCATGGATGATTTAGTGGCCGTCCCGGGCCATGGGGTCACCGAGACCCAATTGGTCCAATTGTTTTATCGTGCCATACCAGAGGCCCTGCGTGGGCATTTCTTTGACAAGTCTCAACAGGCCGGCATCACATATGATGCATTCAGTAGGGAAGTCGTCCTGTATGAGTCAAAGTTTATGCCAGTTACCACCTTCTGGCACAAGGACTTGGAGAAGGGAAAAGGGTGGAAAGGGCGTACCATCTCTGGCCAAGTCAAGGCCAAGGATCATATGATCCTTACCTTAGAGGAAGGTGGTACCGATGAGGTCCCATACAGTCAGATAGAGTGGGGCCTCAAGGATGACGGCAGTAGTGTGGGGCAAGGGACGTCCTATGCTGTTGTCGCGGCTGGAGGGAAGCCGCAAGGTAGAGGAGGAGGCAAGGGCCAAAGGGGCCAGGCCATGGGAGGTCGTGGGCCGGGCGCACAGGGGGTTGGCAGACAGGGAAACCGCCAAGCAGAAGGTAGCGGTCAAGGTCCCCCGTTAAATCGCCAGGGTAATCGGTCCCCGCAGCGAGGAGGTGAAAGGGCACCTCAAGGAGGATGGCACCCAGGCTTGCCACAGGGCAGGCCCTAGAAAGACTTGGGCTTGGACCAGCGATTATGGCAGGAATGCGTGAACATGGGTCAGTGCGTATTCTGTGGTGACCCGGCGCACGTAATAAAATTTTGTCCTCAGTATAGACAGGCCCGTTGGGCTGCCCAGCAGTCAAAAGGCAGCCGCCAGTAGGGGTTGCAACTGCCCCTACTTCTAGGTCATGTGGAGAAGTCAGCGCGCGCGAACAGGACACTCCCAACCCACATGAGCCTATGGCAGAGGTTGCAGGCGCGAGCCTAGATAGCTGTCCAGAGACTGCTTGTGTTAGCGTCTCTTTAGGCACGTCCCTCACAGGTGTGGCAGAAGAGTTAAAGGAGAGGATGCCAGCCTGGGCCAAAATGAAAAGGGAGAGTAAGGGACAACTGATTTTGGTAGATGTAGAGGTGTTTAGAAGTAGAGTAGGGGCCCTTATAGACTCAGGGGCTACCCGTAGTTACATTAGCCGTAGGGCGGTGAAGAAGTTGAGGCTAGGACTAAAGGTCCAGAAGCTAGTAGACCCCATAGTCAGTGTCCTCGCAGACAACCGCACGATGCGMGTTGAGGACTACGTAGAGGGAGTCCAGGCGTACTTTCGCCTAGAGAAGGATGGAAAAGTGGAGAAAGTCCTCCATTCTTTGACTCTCCTCGTACAGGATGACCTTCCTTTTGATGTAGTTTTAGGAATGGATTGGGGAGAGGCAGCAGGGGCCACACTCCATTTGAGAGAGCATGAGTGTACGTTCCCTAGTCCGTCAGGCGAGGTTAAGACTGCCCGCTTGTTCCATGTGTTTAGCATAGACAACACCTTGGCACATTGCTGTCTTAGTGCTCCCGCGTTCGCGCGATTAGTTAAAAAGGAGCAGTTAGAGAAACAGGTATTTGTAATTTATGTTAGACCTGTCACTGAGGCCCAGGAAAAGGATAGTTCCACAGATCCAACAATTGCCAAGCTGCTGGAAGAGTTCAAAGATTTGACTGAGTCGCCGACAGGAGTAATGCCGCGACCTATCCAGCACAGGATAGAGATAGAGCCTGGCTGTAGAACTCCTAAGGGTGCAGTCTACAGGATGTCCCCTGGAGAGTTAGAGGAGCTTCGCAAGCAGTTAGACGAACTCCTTGAGAAGGGTGGGATCAGGCCCTGTTCGTCTCCTTTTGGAGCACCAGTCTTGTTTGTCCCCAAGAAGGAAGGAGAGTTGAGAATGTCCATAGACTATAGGGGTTTGAACGCAATTACTGTGAAGAATGTTGAGTCGCTGCCCAGCATAGACGATCTTTTAGATCGGATGCAGGGTTGTAAGTATTTCTCTAAGATAGACTTAAAGTCCGGATACCATCAGATAGAGGTTCATCCTGATGATCAGTACAAGACTGCGTTCCGAACTAGATACGGGCATTATGAGTTTATAGTGATGCCCTTTGGACTAACCAACACGCCAGCTACTTTTCAGCGTTGTATGAATGACCTGTTTAGACCATGGTTAGATAAATTTGTAGTAGTCTACTTAGATGATATCCTAGTCTTTAGTAAGACCCTCCAGGAGCACCAGGGTTATCTGAGGCAGGTCTTGGAGAAGCTACGAGAGGCTAACTTCAAGATCAACGCGAAGAAGTGCGAGTGGGCCAAGACGCAAGTCTTATACTTGGGCCACGTGTTGGACAAAGATGGCATTAAGTCAGACGACAGCAAGATAGCGGCGATTAGAGACTGGCCGACGCCCCGCACATTGACAGATTTGCGGTCGTTCCTAGGCTTAGCTAACTACTATAGGAAGTTCGTGAGGAACTTCTCCACTATCGCCGCCCCCTTGCGCAGACTGCTAAAGAAAGAGGCAATCTCGCAATGGGACAAATATTGTACGTCTGCGCTCAAGAAGTTAAAGCGCGCGTTAATAGAATATCCCGTCCTCAAAGTAGCAGATCCGTCCTTGCCATTTGTCGTTACCACGGACGCAAGTCAGTATAGGATAGGCGTCGTGTTGCAGCAAGACGACGACAATGGCTATAGACCCGTAGAGTTCATGTCAGCGAGGATGCCCTGTGAGAAGGTYGCTACCTCCACGTACGAGACAGAACTTTACGCTCTCAGGCAGACTTTAAACCATTGGAAGCACTATCTGCTTGGGAGGCACTTCAAAGTGTATTCTGACCACAAGACACTTCGTTGGTTAAAGACACAGGCCAAGATGACACCTAAGTTGACTAGGTGGGCCGCAGAGATAGACCAATTCGACTTTGAGCTCAAGCCAGTAAAGGGCAATTACAACGTAGTTGCGGATGCTCTGAGTAGGAGACCAGACTACTTTGGAGCCGTAGTACACTATCTGGATATAGGGAGAGACCTGCAGGAGAAAGTGAGGCAAGCATATGCGCAGGACCCTATCTATAGCGACCTCCTAAAGAGAGTTAGAGAGGCCCCAGARACTGAACCAGATTACCGCACTACAGACGGGTTGCTGTTTGAGAAGACTAATGTGTTTGACCGCCTGTGCGTTCCCAACAGCGAAGAGATCCGCAGTTTGATTTTAGGGGAATGCCACGATACTGAAGGGCATTTCGGTTGGCAAAAGACATTAGCCAACTTGATGCGTGCATGTACCTGGCCAGGGATGAAGAATGATTGCATAGAGTATGTCCGCAGTTGTAAATTGTGCCAGAGGAATAAGTCTACTACACGTGCGCCCCTAGGTCTTCTCAGACCCTTGCCTATTCCGGATCAGCCGGGAGACTCCGTGTCCATAGACTTCATGGACACCCAAGTCAAGAGTAGACATGGTAAGAGCCAAGTCATGGTCGTAGTTGACCGCTTTACCAAATATGCAGTTTTCGTTCCTTTGCCTGCAGAGGCACGTACGGACTTAGTGATACAAAAGTTTTTTTACTTTTGGGTTAGTAAGAATGGAATCCCATTGTCGATAGTTAGTGATAGAGATAGCCGTTTCACCAGACAGAACTGGCAAGAACTCATGAGAGTTTACGGATCTAAGTTGCTAATGTCATCTGGCCGTCACCAAGAGACTAACGATCAAACAGAACAGATGAACAAGATCCTACAGCAAGTTCTGCGCATGTACATTAGACCAGATCAGATTAACTAGGATGAGATGTTGCCTAAGGTAGCTAGTGCATACAACAAYARCGTGCATCTATCCACCTGCCGCACTCCCAATGAGTTGCACAAGTCCTTTAGACCACGCAGACCGTTCGAAGGACTGAACCGGGATCAGATTCACAGATTACCGCCCGGTACCAGGGAGTTTGCGATACAGCACGAGAAAGAACTAGCCACTGTTGTTGAAAACCTCAGGAAGCCCCAGCATAGGATGATAGAGCAAGCTAATAAGCACCGCCGCCCGTCGCAGTTTCAAGTAGGCGACTTAGTCTGGGTGAAGGCTAAAGAGTTTGCACCTGAGGAAAACATCTCGCAGAAGTTACTGCCCGCATATAGAGGACCGTGGCCGGTTCTAGAAGTCGAGGGCAGAGAGGATGGACCGTCCTATAGCATTGAGATTCCAGCACACCTCCACACCTACCCTATGTTTCATGCTTCAAAGCTGTTGCCGTGTGTCACAAGTCAATAGTTCCCTTCGAGAAGATCCATGATCCCCTCGGATATGGATGGAAGTTATGACATTGAAGGCATTGTAGATGAGGATGTGTTCAGAACAGGAGGTAGAGGTCGTCCCCAGAAACAATATAAGGTCCGTTTTGCTTATCAGGAACCGGAAGACGACCGCTGGTTCACGAAAACAGAACTTCTAGAAACCGCTCCCGACATAATCAGAGCCTATGAATGTGACAAGAAAGGTAAAGGTCCCGCCTTGAACTGAAATGTTCTCGGAGGACCTCGAATTTAGGACGGCGCGAGTGAAACGGTTTTCACCTTATAGTAGTAGCGGATGCAGTACCCAGGGTTCGATCCCTAGACCTCACACTACCTATGTACAGTATCTGTATAGATCCCGAGAATTGAACCTGTGACCTGTGTATTCGCAGACAGTTGGTAGGTCTGTCGTAGGTCCATAGGCAGCAGGGGTTCGATCTGTAGGTCTATAGCATAGAAGTCTTAGTGAGTTCCGGAAGCTTAGCTGTAGACCTTCTACAAGGTAGTCAAGTGGGCAAGTGGTCAAGTGGCGAGGCAAGTGGACTAAACCGCAGTGCAACAGCAGCACAACGTCGGTAGGATAGCGGTGAGTCCACAGTCAGTCAGCGGAAGGTCCGGTCAGTCCCAGTCCGGTCCAGCAAGTACCACAGGGGGACTGTGAGCACCAAGGGCCGATGGCAAAGGGCAGACCAACGAGTTTCTGAAGTATAAATCAAGAGGCAGCGCCCAACCATTCATTCATTCCTGCGGGAGCGCTGCCACAACGACTTGTGCAAGGAGGTCTGCAGATGAGCCTGGAGGACGCAGTGGGCAAGAGAGAGGGAGTTAGCATAACGATAGGTTAGATGCAGCGATAGCTGCCATAGCTGTAGTTAGTAGTGAGTGTGTGTGTGTGTTCGAGTGTTAAGAGTGATGCGTGTGGGATATCCACGGTGATCCAATGTATGTGAACAGTGAGATGTTTGGGCGCTGAAGTCGCCATAGCCAATTGAGAGTGAACTCGTATCTGAAAGCCATATCTCTGAGTTTTGAGTGGGCGCATGTCGCCAGTATGCTGCGTTGCTGTTTACATGCATGAAAAGTGTGTTTGAGAACGAGTCTGATTGCAAGAACACTGTTCAGATGCAAACTCGCTTTAAGCTGGCTATGGTGCCCCAGCGCCCAACATCCTTCCCAACTCGTGTTCCCGACTAACTGTTCACACACACTCACACTTAACTCCGGATCTCCCTGGATACTCCACGCACACTCATTCTATGTCTCTCACACACATACACACTAGTACCTATCACTAGCTATGAAAGCTATGGTCGTCGGCTATCTCTACTACAGGCAGCTATGGCTGCTCTGACTCCTCTTCTGCCCACTTCGACTTCAGGCCATCTGCAGACCACCTCGCACAAGACGCTAGGACAGCGCTTCCTCATGGCTCACGCAGGAATGAATGAATGGCTGGACGCWGCCTCTTGATTTATACTTCTGTAAGTCGCTGGTCTGCCCTTTTCCACCGGGCCCATGGTGCACACAGTCCCTCATGGTACTTGCTGACTGCACAAAGTGAGACTGGGACTGGGTACCGCTGACTAAATGAAGTTGGACTCATCACTTGCCCACTTGCCTCTGGTCTGCTGTGTATAACGTGAGAAGAAACTTGAAAGGCCACTTCCGGACCTTCCGGAAGTTTGCGGACTTGGCCTTTCAGAACTGTAGCAGCTACGACCTTGACCTTTCAGGACTGTAGCAGCTACGACCTTGACCTTTCAGGACTGTAGCAGCTACGACCTTGACCTTTCAGGAC